GGCTATGCTTTTAAATATTGCTGGATTCAATTTCTGGTGTTGTGTTAAGGATTTTTGTGTCTATATTCATGAAAGATATTGGTGTCTAGTTTTATTTTCTTGTAGTGTCTTTATCTGGTTCTGGTATATGGGTAATGCTGGCTTCATAAAATCACTTGGGAAATGTTTCATCCTCTTTGTGTTTTTCCAGACCGGGTCTCACTCTGTCACCTGGGCTGGAGTACAGTGGCATGAACACGCCTCACTGTAGGCTCACCCTCCCCGGGCTCAAGGCTCAGCTGATCCTCCCACTTCAGCATCCTGAGTAGCTGGGACTATAGGCACAAACCACCACACCCAGATGATTTGTGTAAATTTTGTTGCCCAGGCTGGTCTGTAACTCCGGGCTCATCTGATCCACCTTCCTTGGCCTCCCAAAGTGTGGGGATTACAGGCGTGAGCCACCCTTCCGGCCTTCTTTTCTTTAAGTTGAAGTAATATTAGACTTCTATGCAGCTGTAAGAAATAAACAATACAAAGAGATCCCTTGTACACTTTGTACGTGTACAAGGGATCGTGTACGTGTGTATTAAGCCGTGTGCGCCACTTGTGTGTGTGTTTATTAAGCCATGTGTACACAACCATGTGTATTAAGCCATTTGTACACACTCGTGTGTGTGTATTAAGCCGTGTGTACACACTCGTGTGTGTGTATTAAGCCATGTGTACACACTCGTGTGTGTGTGTATTAATCCGTCTGCTGTTTTTACCTCCTGTGCAGGTTCCTGTATTGACTGTGCTCGAATATCCACGTGTGGGCTTTGTGTGAACATGAGCTTATCTCTCTGGGTAAAATCACCAGGCTGTGTGGTAGTTGCAGCCCCTCATCCATTTGTATATTTGTTAGAAGAGATTGAATAAATTGATGTTACTTAGAATTCACTAATGAAGACATCTAGGCCTGGAGATTTCTTTTTCAGAAGGTTTCATTGAAAAAAAAATCCATTTTTAAAATAAATACAGGACTATTCACTTTATCTGTTTCTTCATGGGTGAGTTTTGGTAGTTTGCAAAAACTTTTCAGCTACAAGGATGAACTAATTTTATGGAAAAGGAAGGTTGACCCAGAGGATGGAACTGAGGGCTCAGATGGCAGGGCGGCCCTGGAGAGCCATCCCCTGAGCTAGGACTGGGCCCTCAGCCCGGCCCAGTAATTTCACTCACCCAGATTTCAGGACCGCATGCCCAGGAGACTGCTGTGTGCCTCTCCCCTCCCTGCTCTCTGAAAAGAGAGCCGACAGTGTGGTCTGTGTCTGTCCCACTACTGGTGTTAGCTTGTCAGGGGCAGATAACTCCTCAGTTCACAGCTCTTCAGATGGAGAAGGGGGTGCACCTGGGAGCCGCACGCCTGCAGCACCTTGTCCATACCTGGACTTGGATTGCGGGACAAGACCCCGGGCTTGAGTCGGAGTTTGATGTAACCATGGAAAGAGACCATAGGGCAGCCAGGGCAGAAGGTGAATTTATTTTGTATGAGGGAGAATTACGAGTTTCCAGGGCCACAGAGCAGACGATGGCAGATGGCACTTTCCCCAAATGCCCATGCTGTATTTCCCATTCCGAGCGCCCTCCCAGCACCTTGCCCCTCCCTCATCGAGACGGGGAGGTCCGTGTCCCCTCCCCTCAGATCAGCAGGCATGACACTGTCTTTCCCGACTTGCTTGTCTGAAGTGACACAGCTTCCCCCTGGCTCTCAACAGCAAGTTAGAAATGAACCCTCTGCCCTCAGCAGAGGCCCTGGCGACACTGCAGAGCAGAACAAGCCCTCCTCGCCAAGCTCTGGCCAAACTGCAGATCCAGGAGCATGGTCAGTGCTGACCATCGCTCCAGGTGTGGGCTGGTTTCTTACACAGCAATAGATTCCAGAATGCCACTGTCTCGGCTGCGTCCCCTAGAAGCAGGCTCTGCAACAAGGATTTGGCTGCAAATGGATTATCTGGGGGCTGATCCTGGTGAGCACAGGTGGGGGTGGGGAAGGCAGGCAGGGAAGGGAAGGAGCCAATGAGGTGCTCCATCCAGGCAGTGACCACCGAGGGCACGTGGGCTGTGACCTGAGGGGGACCCCTGGGGCCAGGGTACAGCAGCATTGTCCCCTGTGAGGACCCCTCCAAAGGGGAGACCACTGTTGGGACAGGCGAGCGTGGTGACCACAGAGGGGACAGAGGAGTATGGAGACCACGGAGGGGACAGGTGAGCGTGGAGACCACGGAGGTGGAGACCACGGAGGGGACAGATGAGCGTGGTGACCACGGAGGGGACAGGTGAGTGTGGAGACCACGGAGGTGGAGACCACGGAGGGGACAGGCGAGCGTGGAGACCACGGAGGTGGAGACCACGGAGGGGACAGGTGAGTGTGGAGACCACGGAGGGGACAGGTGAGTGTGGTGACCACAGAGGGGACAGAGGAGCGTGGTGACCACGAGGGGACAGATGAGTGTGGAAACCACGGACGGGTGCAGCTGAGGACCCCCTTGGTGGACCACGGCATGCAGGAGGGACTAAGAACGGCTGCGGGAGGAGGAGCCGGTGGATTTCGGAGGGGAATGAGGATCCATATTCCCACCACCCTGACTCTGGACAGAAAACCCACAGCCAGAGAGACCCTTCAAACTCAGGCAGGTCCCATCTGTCCCCTGGTTTTGGTGGCCACTGGCCGCCCTGCCCGGCATGATCCACCTGCCTCCTCCTGCCTATTCCCTCCAGCCTCGTGGCTCCCCCAACAGGCCTGGCCACCCCTGCCCTGGGCCTTGGCATGCAGCCCCCTCTTCCCCGACATCCCCAGGGCTCCTTCCTCTGCCTCCTCCTGGTCTGTGACAAGGAGGCCCCGATCATCCTATAGAACTGCATCTTGCAGCCCACTCCCCCTCTCTGGTGCTCTTGACCCCCCGCTGGCACCCTTCTTTTCTGTTTTCCGAAATCTCTGTTTCCTTCTAGCTGGCGACGTAATTCAGTGTCTGTAGCGTTGCTAGGACACAGTTCCCCACAGGCTGATATCTTTGTTTTATTCACCTGGCATACAGTTGGTGCTCAATAAGTGTTTGTTGTGGGCGGGACCCAGGAGGCAGGGCTAACACCATCCAATGACCAGCTGACAGAGAGGGGTTGGCCGCCCTGCCCACTGTCCCTCCCTCTCTGCACCCTCAGGGAGCACCGAGAAGGAGGAAACCGTGAATCATGCTTCCATTGGAGGCCAGCTGCACTTGCCCCTTCTCACACTGCCACAAAGACATACCTGAGACTGGGTAATTTATAAAGAAAAGAGGTTTAATCGGCTCACAGTTCTGTGGGCTGTACAGGGTCCTGCTTCTGGGGAGGTCTCAGGAAACTTACAATCTTGGCGGAAGGGGAAGGGGATGCAGGCCCGCAGGCTCCCTCGTTTACATGGCAGCAGGAGAGAGAGAGCAAAGAGGGAGCACTACACCACTTTCCAACTCCAGATCTCGTGAGACTCTCACAAGACAGCACTCGGGGGATTGGTGCTAAACATTAGAAACCACCCATGACCCAATTCACCTCCCACCAGGCCCGCACCTCCAACACTGGGGATCACAATTTAACATGCGATTTGGGTGGGGAAACAGAGCCCAACATCATGATCACCAGCCAAAGAGTCAGACGTCTCTCCAGCAATCCAAAAACTTACAAGGGAATCTGGTGGACTGGCAAGATACGTGGTGAGGTGGAAACAG